ACATTAACATTGTAATGTATTGGATGATAAGCTCTTAGTAATGCATTCAAAATGACCTTTACGCTACTGACCTATCATGACACTGTGTGAACTCTGACCCTGACAAGGACATTATGCATACACCATGCACTATGTGGTCTTCCTAATCATTCTACGTGTAATGTTTCTACCTGCTAGGGCCGTGACCTGAGTTAAACAGAAGTCAGCAAAAGTGACAACGAAAAGTACAGGAAACACAATAAACACGACCTGGGCGGCTGTAGCTCACCTGGCTCAAACCATGCCATAATATACCCTGACTTACCTCATGGGATTTAAATTGCCAATTTGGTAACTTTAAATTCATCAAATTATAAGCAGAATTTACATACCATGGTGTAAACATGGCCAAATTTAGACCTAAACTTGTTATATAGCTTCCGAAGAAAGTTCATGCAATTTGAATTATTGTTATTTTTAATATTAAAATAGGAACGTATCTTTAATTGTAATGCTATTAATAGACAAGAAACCCCTTTATTGTCAGAAACGTCTTACATATCAAAACAGTTTCCGAGATGAATTCGTTGACGGGAGATTGGAAGAGCACCTTGATGTACGCTCGGTTGTCTTTTGTAACCAAACAAGCTGAGAAGAATAACATAAACGGCTAAAACACATAACAGTAAAGCAGAGAAAAATGGCGAAAAACAAAAGGAGACACTGATTGACAACGAAAAGTAAAAGGAGACGGTTGATGGGGGAGGGGGAGAGAAAAGGAGACGTATAGCGACAAAGACAGAGAAAATGAGACAATCAGCCAGAGTGGAAGAAACGAGAAATTGACGATAAAAAAGTGAAAAGGAGACAATTAAAAAAAAGCAAAAGGACAGGCAACCGACAATAACGAGAAAAGTGGAGTGACAGAAAATAACACACGGAGACATTAGGGGAACAGATAGAGCTCCACACGAAGATGGCAAGTGACACTGTAGACGGGTGTCAGCACACAGCGCTAGCACACACGTGCATCGATTACACCATATCAACACTGAATTCAAAACTAAACATGGCGTTCCCATTGGAACTTGATCCCGAACACATCGCCATCACATTCACATAACTTCATCAATACTTTATGCCACGGTGGGTGACAATAATTCCGAGGAGACCACGCCCAGTAATGCGTAACACATATAAATCGCACCTGGTATGCCGCTCTTTGTAGGTGGATGTGCGCCTTTAAATATTTAACGTAGCCATTTGATATTTCTCTTTCTCTGGGTATCCGTCTGGATGTCTTCAAATAATATGTCAGAAGGTCATCCCATCAAGCAGCTTCCTGTACATAATTAATGATAAATACATTTCTTTAAATAATGATCACATCCCTTGATTGACGTAACGAACTGTGATCATGTACCTGTCTCGTGAAAGGATAAAGTAAGATGATGTTGGAAAGGCATATGTGAGTGAGTTGGGTTTAACGCCGCTTTTAACATTATTCCAGTTATATCACGGCGTGTTAGCTTAAAGTGGGAGGAAAGCCCGAAGTGATGCAGGTCTCAGACGTTTACCATTTCGGTGAAACCCACGAGCAGGGGTATGGTGCTGAAAAACCTAGAAACATAAGCAGGGCGAACCGGGATTCGAACCCACAATCATAGGTTTCTGGCGTGCCTAAGGGACGCAACTCTGCACAGCGATCGCGGCGCCTTAGACGACTGGGCCACCCGTGCCCCGGAAAGGCATGTAGTGTTCAAGCACTCTGCAAACATAGTGTCTACACTAAACGACAAATACACGATGGCCATGTGTACAGCTGTTTTGATAAATCTCCAATGGTTTTTTTTTTTAGGAATTAACTTTAATACTAGATATGCAAAGTGTCACCTATAGTCTATTTTTCTCCCGTTTTTCTGAATAAAATCGAATTTTAAAAACATTATTGAATGTTATTTCTAATTATAGTATATCCACAGGGTGTAACTATCGGATAACCTCACTGTATCGACGTGCCATAAAAACAATTCCGTGCAGTGTGTGTGTGTGTGTGTGTGTGTGTGTGTGTGCGTGCGGTTTTACGCCGCCTTTAGCACTATTCCAGCAATATCACGTCGGGGGACACCAGAAATGGGCTTCACACATTGTACCCATGTCGGGAATCGAACCCGGGTCTTCGGCGTGACGAGCGAACGCTTTAAACACTTGGCTACCCGACCGCCCCTCAGCAGCAATGTGGTAGTAATATTGGATTACATAATTATAACGTAATTAGAGGTGAAATAACAAAACATATAACCGTGTGAATATGTACATATGTATAATACAGGAATGTCAAAAATGTATAAATATGATTCGGAAATTGATATTTTCACATAATTTTTATATAGTAATTAAATTTAACGTATTAATTAATTCACACCCATTTTCAATAAAGTTTTATTGACCTAATGTAAACCCCCTCACTGAAAATATTTATCAAGTACATGACATACACTACTCTCTTCGGCCAGAGTTTCTACGGAAATATAGAGATATCCCATTTTTTGGTCAAATACCACTTTTATCTCATCGAGTGGGGGCGGTCGGGTAGTCCAGTGGTTAAAGCGTTCGCACGTCACGCCGAAGACCTGGGTTCGATTCCCGACATGGGTTCAATGTGTGAAGCCCATTTCTGGTGTCCCCGGCCGTGATATTGCTGGAATATTGCTAAAAGCGGCGTAAAACCATACTCACTCACACACTCACTCATCGACTGAATACAAGGGTGACTTTTTAAGAGTGGCGCAGTATATGAAGTATATACATATTAAATACACACCATGTCATGTATCTAAGTAATGTATGCTTCACAACCTACCAAATGTCTTAAACAATGGAATCGGAACTGTAACATATTTTCAAGTCTTAACAATTCTGCAATTAATAAAATATATCACATCTTATATTAAGAATCATGTTGAATGACTATCCCTGACCTCTGAATTTCTTCGAGCACACAGACATTTCAATTATGACCACGTGTGTTAATTCCGGCCCAACATTCTCACAACAACGTGTTCACCTGTTAACCCTAAGTCTTACAAGTAGAATATGTAGGTTGTCGGTGTGTGTGAGGTCCGGCCGGAATCGGACAGTGGCCGCAGGTAGCACTGGTCGCCGCGTCAGATCATGACCTCCATGAAGGGATGACTGCCCTGTGGTCAAGGAGGCCCGTTGAACACGGTGACCAGTGGGGATAGCGTCTTAAGTAGGGACATAAACATTTACCTGAATGATAGCTGCAGGTGTGAGGGTGATTAGGGCGTGGGACCCCCTGGTACGGAGGGGAGGTGTGCTCTGAAGGGGGCTCTACAATCAATGGCTTCTGTTGTTTATAATGATTCCTTCTCGATATCCGAAATCACGTCTCCCTCACCTGAGATCGATTAAGAACGGTTGTTTTCTTGGGTTTTTGTTTTGTTTAACGCTGCACTTAATATTTCAGTATATTCCTGAATATTCCAGCTGTATGACGGCGGTCTGTACATATTGCGTCTGGACCATACAATCCAGTGATCGACATCATGAGCATTGCTATACGCGAGGACATGCATCAAAACCACGATGGTAGGCAGACGCATACAGGTATATATCAATTTGTTATAAACGTAAATGCTTTATTATCTGTGTATGAGGATTCATCCGTCTTCCCCCGCCCCTCCCTCTTCCTTCTCGCCCTTCCCCATCTCTCTCTCCTTCCCTTCCCTCTTCATATGCCCTTTTTCTCTCTTTAAGACTGATATATTGCTGAACATACATGTTCTTCTCTCTTTCCTTCTTCCTCTCCAGGAGCGCTGGGGTGGCCAAGTGGTCAAAGCGTTCGCTCTTCACACCGAAGGCCCAGGTTCGATTCCCCACATGGGTACAATGTGTGAAGCCAATTTTCTGGTGTCCCCGCCGTGATATTGCTGGAATATTTCTAAAAGCAAACTCCAAATCGTACACATTCCTCGCCCTCTCTCCTTAATTGGACGTACTTATCTGACGCTCCATCCACGTTAATCTTTCCAACTCCCCTCCACGTGTAGACACCCGAGGGTGTTGCAATGATCGGGTGACGGTGGAGGGTAGGCTACCTCAGGCTACTTTAGACGCTATCGTACCCATCTTCCCACGTTCAGCGATAAACTGGACGTATACCCCTCCTCAAGAAACGGAGTAGAGATTACATAGAAAGTAATTTATTAGAGAACTATGTAAGTAATACGTCCTTGCCAGGATATAAACTCCTAATAACGAACAATACGATAAATCACTGCCACAGAACAGAAGGCTTAAGTGTTTATACTCAGTGGATGACATAATACCAAATGTCACTGTGACCCTAACTTGTAAACGCGCACCTTTGAATATATAAGCGGTGTTTATAGCACTGATAATTGAGCTATTTCATTTACAGTTTAGCAATAAACTGATTATAACACGATGGGTAGGCATGACTTTACAGTTGTCCCCATGCAGAGAACTGAACCCGAATTAGCGTGACAAGCGAGCGCATGGACAAGGCACCTAATTAGGCCATTATACGATGTTTAATTACACTTAAACACTATCTATGTAAACATCCACTATCGGTATTCTCGAATAATATATACTACTCATTATTTGAAAGGGATAATCATATATGCCGTTCTATTTATTAATAAATATATATTGACATTATGAGAATCAATCTTGTGTATCATGGAAACAGGAAAAAAGCCCAATCAAAGGTGGATGTATTTATAATCTAGCTTGTACAGTAATTCATATTACGTTTGCAGTGTCAAATCTATAATATGTTACGAGAAAATTAACAAGCGCTTATGTAAATACGGGTATGGTTTTGATCAATCGAATAAATAATTCAAACTGCTTTTTCATGTATGTAAACTGGTATGGCATATCCAGCGAGCAGACGACACAAACCGGTTCGCGGTTGAAGTTGCAAGTCTCGGCTCGCTATTTTTACCTGGTCCTTTGATTTGGTTGGCTGTCAGGTGCTTAGCGAATATTGACAATCTCCCAGGCGGGCACGCGCCGTTGGACAGTGTGGGCCACTCGTATTCTCCTTGCAGGTCACGGTGAGACGGTCTGTTCTGTTCATCCCGCTAGGAGCCAGTGAACAATGACCCGGGCACCGCAACCGAGCTGAGATCGCTGGCGGATCATATTTTACCTATGGGACGTATCTGCGTTCTGTTGTCAAGCTGATTCAACATGGCGGACGAAAGCGAGCTTGACAGTGTTTCTAAACATACGCCTAAAGACATGGTGTGGGACGATCGACCGAGGACTTTACGGCAAATAGTGTCGAACTGTCGTCTGCCTTTTTATGTTAAAGCTCACAAAGGAGATCTGTCAAAATATATACCTGGGTCAAGTGAACAAAATGACGTTCTGCATGTGTTGGAAGTTCGGCGGAGGAAAATTGTTTTAGGCAGACGACTTCAGTGGGAGAAAAGAGCCAATGATTACACGGTGACTGGGGATCAGTTGGACATACCGGCTTCTTTCAAAGGTAAGTGAGATTTGGTGTTTTCCACGTAGAGACGATGAAAGCAGACGATCACAAACATAAGAAACATGGTGCAACTGTGACGAAACTGTTCTAAGTTCTCAGACGTGATTGCCTCAATGAAGAAAAATATTACCGTTGCTTGTTGTAAGTGGACGTATATTAGGCAAGAGTCTTTTCAGGACTATATAAACAGTCTCACTAAAGAGGGATTTTTTTCATGGATACATTGTGGAAATGCGTTGCTAGCGGGCTGTAAACGTGTTTGTTGTTGTGTGGAGTTGGTCGGTCTTGCTCTCGTTGCTAGCAGTTTGCTTTATCACAACGTGCCATTTTTATTTGGAAAAAAAATTCACGCATCTACAACAGTGTCATCATCATATATATAATTTCAAATCAAATAGTCTAATCTTGGCCTGTGCTGGATGTCGTATGTGCGTTAGGTAAGGCAGAAAACAACAGAGTTGATCACTGATATATCTTACGACATACTGAAAAAACACAGCTGGAAATTACAAAGAAGCATGTATGAGAATACATCAAAAAACGTTTCCTTTTGTGGTTTCCTGTAGTTGATAATTGTTTCCTATACCAACCTGATCTGTATGAGACGAGACACATCACGGTTTAGACGCAGGCAATTAGATAAATGAAGATGACACGATATTAAAACATGACAATTAATGCTTGCGCTCTGCATGTTCAAGTAAGTGTCACGACTAGCTTCGTGATCATGGAAAACATAGCCTATATAATTTATTCAAAGGTTTTTATTCTGTTAACACCATCCACAGTGGCACATGAATACACAACCATGAACATATATACATTCTTTAATAAATATATCATTCATAAATGTCATAAACAAATTGCATTGTTTAAGATCAATAATTGTTAAAATCAGTAGCAATATGATATACTGATCTTCATATACGACATGAAATAAAAGTACAATATAAATGTACACATTCCTAATTATACGAGTAATATCACATGTTCAGGAATTCCCACTGATATGAATATATATCCCATGTTACTGAGTATTACATCAATCACTCGGTCGGCTGGTCGTTCAACCCGTGCTACATGAAATGCAGGCATTAGCTAAGCCAAGTTGAAATCTACACTGCCAATCATAAATCCATGCGTTTCATAACATGTTAAAAGCCATGCGTTTCATAACATGTTAATCTCGTGCTGCACGTGATTCAGGGTTGCCGAAAAACTCTTTCATCCCGTTCACAAAAACGTAAATTACTAGATGATCCAGGATTATTGTTCAAGGGTAGGTCGATTGAAAATAGATTTCCTATTTACTGTTTGCATTTCACTTATTTGAGATTGTTTGGTCATATCAAATTGTGTCAATCTGAAATGGATAGAAAATTTAATATCACCACATGAACACATGCTCTTTTGAATCTAGTATAGCAATGCTACTTTGATAGTAAATCGTGATTAAAGTAAATCAATATTGGCTCACAGTCTAATGTCTGCTTAACTCCAATGATATTATTACTGAGCGTATATGTCCAAATCGATTAGGACACACGCTCAATTGTATCGACTTGTAGCTAACACTGTTTCAAAATGAAAAGAAATAATTGGCATATTCTGTCACAGTGAGACCCGCGAAAGTAAACACACTTTGATGAATGTCGAGGATTGTTGGGAATGATCGTAAAGTTAAAAACACAAATGCAAACTCTAAGGCTGAACACTTGAAGGTGAGGGCTGTTTTATTTAGCTTAGTCAGGCATAGACGGGAAAACACCGATTAGATTTCAAATGAGCCGAAGGCCTTTCATTGACACAATTGCAGTATGAGTTTGCAAAATATGTCACCTCAAGGACGAACGATTCATCGCAAGTGGGAAGTTTAGTCATCAAATGAAGTCGTAAATACAAGCTACACTTGAAACCAGCAACACTCAACTTGGCTCAGTAATCCCCAAACTCCCATCTGGTCCGATTCACATGGACGAGGCGATAACCCCAAAACGTTTCGAATGCAGCTAAGCGAATTAGGTTAACCCCACACAATGACACCCTAATTCCACATTTAAGTATTTATTTCTTCATAATAACTATATATCTCAGGTTCATATCGTCTTAATTAATACAACCTTCTTACTTAATGGATTTGTAATTTAGAAGATTATTGAAGGTCTTTAAAATTCGTGTTGCGGAACACGGCCATTGCTTGACTGGAGATGTTTGTTGATCATAGTCAAAGCAATCTAATGGTTACGCCAGTGTGTGAATAGATTTGCCTTGAGGTAGGTGCTTGTGCTTAACGGTCTGGTGGATTGATTGAGGCGTTAATAGATTAGATGTTATGTTAGATTTCGTTATTGACGTCCCTTCGGTTGAATGTCAAAACTGTGTAAGGTCTTTGATATACTTAGTTTGGCTTTCGTTTTGTGATAAACAACAAATACATTGTTCAGTAAGTATATATACTATACGTACAAGATGCCTTTACCAGAGTAAGAAACACGAATATGACGAGAATAACACAACGTTTTTCTCTGGTGCAGCTCAAGGCATCTGGGTACTTTTTAAAAAGGGCGGTTGCGTAGCCTTGTGGTTAGATGGTTAGATTGGTTAGATGCGTAGAGTCCATACTACTGTCCCTACCGTGATATTGCCGGACTATAGTTAAAAGTGGCATAAAACCTTACTCATTCGCTTACAAAGATCCTTTAACGATTGAGTACATAAAGCTGTAATTCATATATACTGGTGTATTACATAAAATATCTGCAAATGTAAAAAGTATGTGTTTTTGTAAAAGAATACGTTTTGTTTGTCGCAATGCTGCCTAAAAGCCACGTAAACACTTATGACCTCTGGCCCACCCTGAGAACCGAAGAACCGACAACAACCTCCCGGCACACTAAATAACGATCTGGCTTATATGAGTGATGGTGATGGAGATATGCTACTGTCGTTTTTCCTTGTATTAGAAGGATCAAGTTAATGTACATCTTACTACCCCATTGGAATTCCGAAATAGACCCGATCCATAACAACTTATGCTGGTCGTACGAGGCGACTTAATGGCTCGTTGCTCACATTATCAATCACTGGATTGTCCGTTCCTCTCGATTATTTACAGGCCGCCGTCGTATACCCATAATATTGCTGAGTACGTGTTTAAGCACCAACACACACACACACACGCACACACGCACACTCGCACACACACACACACACACGTGCATGCACGTCGCTATATAGGTGCAATTATCTTGGACGCGACGTTAAACCCAGTTTCACCTCACCTCACAAAACAAATTTCAAACTATTTAAGAAACCCATCAGAACTGAAATATTACTGTTGGTTTTCAATAATGTATTTTAAGTGTATATATCAATATAAAGAGAGCTTAATATTTCACTTTGTTCTCAGATTTAGATTTGCCCTTCAGCATTCATCGTTGTGACATTTAGCTTAGCCTTTCTTCTTAAGGGCACACGACAGACGTCCTTGAAACCTCTGACAGAAAACATGAAACAGTGACACACACACACACACACACACACACACACACACACACACACACACACACACACACACACACACACACACACATCTTCCTCTTGTCGATATATGACTACAGATATTGTAAAGTTATTGTAAAGCATTGACGGGAGGGCAAATATTTGCCCTACTACAAATTGTTCCCATAGCTTTGTTGCACACCATGGTGTTTGTCCTGCTTACACACACGATAGCAACAGACCATACATGGATAGCCCTGCATCCAGACCCCCCTGACGTTGAAACACAATACGTGATTGTATTTCTATTCCATAATATGCCACATGGGCCATTAAGAAAATCAACCGCCATTACATGTCTTAGTCGAAACCACGCTGCTTTGATCAATACATATCCCCAGACTTACCAATTAATCACAATTATGTCAAGATATTCATATCTCAGCACCGATTAGTTATAATTATAACACCACGAACCGACGTTTATCTGATCAACGTGTGAGATCAGGCAATCTGGATACATGGGAAGCGTGATTGATAGCAAATATATGTGCACGGTGATCTCTGGTTAGTGGTTAATGTCTGCACTGTCCTTGTTGGTATTTAGGACAGTAAAGAGTGCGTATACGAGTGAGTGATTTGGGTTAACGCCGCTCGCAACAGTATTCCAGTTCTATCAGGGCGTGCCAGCTTTTTGTGGGAGGAAAGCCTTAAGTGATGCAGGTCTCAGACGTTTACCACTTTGATGAAACCCACGAGCACGGGTATGGTGCTGGTGAACCTAGACGCATAATCGGAGCGAACCGGGATTCGAACCCACGATCATAGGTGGCGTGCCCAAGGGACGTCACTCTGCACAGCAAATTGAGTCACCTTAGACTACTGGGCCACCCGTGCCCATAGTCCGTATACAACGGGTAGCTGTTCTATACAGCCATCTGACAAAGACATAAGTCGGCTAGGTTCTGACTCACAGAGGTCCCTGTGCTATAGATAGATAATTTAGGATGGGATGAACACAATGGCTGATGAGTGTGGGTCGTGGGTGGATTGTGACCACAGGACCTGGATGTGTTAGTGTGTATTCGTACCCAAACGGTCTGGATTGATGCTTGGACTTTCAGATGCTGTGATATTTCTTAGTGTGAAACAGATGAATGTGTGACTGTTCTGGAAAACAACAGCCTTCTTTTTGAGGACCAGATCCTGTGATTGTCGTCGGAGTGGGGGAAATGTGGATCAGTGGATCATTGATTGTGTGAATCCTGCCCGGTGTACCGTTGCAGTGCTTCCACGGACCCGTGAACATCCGGGGTAGAATAGGTCTTCAGCAACCCATGCTTGCCGTAAAAGGCGACTAAAGGGGTCGGGTGGTCAGGCTCGCTGACTTGGTCGATGCATGTCATCGTATCCCAATTGCATGGATCGAGGCTCATGATGTCAATCTCTGGAATGTCTTGTCCAGACTCGATAATTTACAGACCGCCTTCATAATG